GATGTTTCAACTTTCCTGTTTACCCCCTGAAGCGCTTTGCTCACTCTTTAAGTACAAGCTGTTTTGGTAGCCCTGGATATATAAATTTGTTGTGACTCTTGGAGCTCAAGGGTGTGACACAGGACATGTTTTGCCTAATTCAACGCTCTCTCCTCATTGGTCATATCCTGTGCCTTATCTATTTGGCAAGAGCTTTGTGCTTCAAATGTCATTGTTATTCTCCATATCAGTATATTGCATTAACATTTGCGAATACTTTGGTAAAACAAATTAATCTTTAAGATTTTAATTTTAAAAAATGACCTCAGTTTACAGTAACTTATATACATTGTGTAATTCGTTGAGAATAAAATGACGTGATAATGGTCAATGAAAAGCCAACATCATTAACCCAATGAGTGCTAAATTCAAAATCACACCAAAAATCTAAGTAAAACAGGAAAATTACAGGCTGATCCAACTTGAATGAATTTCATCAACTTATTAAGTCAATAGTGTTTATGGCCCCCACATGCCTGTATGCACTTCCAACAGCATCTAGGCATGCTTCTGATGAGAGAATGGATGGCATCAGTGAGCTCCTGGACAATCTGTGGTGTTACTTGGTGGCTGTGGATGCTCCGATACATAACATCCCAAATTGGATTCAGGTCTGAGGATTATGAAGGCCAGTCAATAGCATCAATGACTTTATCATCCAGAAACTGCCTACATACTCATTGTCATGCACTAGGAGGAACCCAGGGCCCACTGCACCAGCATCAGGTCTGACAGTGGCCCTGAGGAATTCATTCCGGTACCTGACAGCAGTAAGGGTACCGTTGGCTAACATGTCTTTGTGGCCCTCCAAGTATATTCCTTCCCAGACCACCCACCGCCAAATGGATCATGCTGGATGATGTTGCAGGCAGCATAACATTCCCCATGGCAACTACAGACTCTTTCACTTCTGTCACATGTGCTCAGTGTGAACCTGCTCTCAAGAGAATGGGGTGCCAGCGGTGGGGCTGCCAATTCTGGTGTTCTCTGGCAAATGCCAATCGAGCTGCATGCTGCTGGGCTGTAAGCACGGGTCCTACTAGAGGATGTCAGGCTCCCATGCCACCCGTATGAAATCTGACATGATTCTGACAGTTTAATCAGGAACATGCACACCAGTAGCCTGCTGGAGGTCATTTTGTAAGGCTCTGGCAGTGCTCCTTCTGTTCCTCCTTGCACAAAGGAGCAGATGACTCTTTCACTTCTGTCACATGTGCTCAGTGTGAACCTGCTCTCAAGAGAATGGGGTGCCAGCGGTGGGTTGCCAATTCTGGTGTTCTCTGGCAAATGCCAATCGAGCTGCATGCTGCTGGGCTGTAAGCACAGGTCCTACTAGAGGATGTCAGGCTCCCATGCCACCCGTATGAAATCTGACATGATTCTGACAGTTTAATCAGGAACATGCACACCAGTAGCCTGCTGGAGGTCATTTTGTAAGGCTCTGGCAGTGCTCCTTCTGTTCCTCCTTGCACAAAGGAGCAGACACTGGTCCTGCTGCTGAATTGTTGTATTTATACGGTCCTGTCCAGCTCTCCTTGTGTAACGGCCCATCACCTGGTATCTCCTTCATTCTCTTGAAACTTGACTTGGTTATATAATAAATAAGCTTCTTGAAAACTTGGGTTTATTAAATGCCAGATGCTTATTTGTGCAATTTGAAATGAGAAAAACAAGATATGTGCAAGTAAAAGAGGCAAGAGATGACGTCCAAGCTTTCTAGGCTTTGAAGTTAAATAAAGGCTATAATTTCCTGTTCCTTATCACTTTATCACTCATCTGCACTTTTTAGTCTAGAATAGGTTCCTTAAATCCACATAAATCAAGATATTTCACTTTGAAGAGCCTTAATCAGCATGGCTGGCATTTTCCACGGACACTGCACAAAAGTTAAGCAAGTTTCTGATCAATCAGAATGTAGTATAGATAGAAATACATCAGCAGAATCTTGCTTTTAGACATAGAGAGTAGGTGTAGGTTCATATTTTGCATTTTCAGTTTATTCATTAAATTCATATTTGGTTCTGTAAATGTATAAATGAATTATACTCTTCAATGGCTCTGATATACTGATTTCATGTTTCTGAGAAAAGATGCATCAGTTTTACTTTTAGGATGTCTAAGATATCTCCCTTTCTCAACGGCAAGATGCTCCCACGATTGTGTTCCACTAGGTTCTCCTCAGCTACATCTGGTGTCTTTCGCCCACTCTTCAGCTGTATTTAATCAGTTATTATTAGTCATAATGACCACAAACAAAATATTTCAATATTTTCTGACAGTTTGTTTGAACTCCCTGACAACAGAATAAAACAGTGCTGCAATTTAACATAGGGTCAAGTGAAAAGGTCAAGTGAGAACAGCCCAACCCACCAAACATGATACTGTAAACTGCTGGATTATGATTAATGAGTCGTTTTAAAACAGCACATTAAGACTGTTACTCCAATTAGACTTAGATGTTGATGGAAAAAGTATATATTTATTAAAATGTCAAATTTCTACATATAGAATTAAATGAGTATTTCAAAGCTATAAAACTTATTTTAATGATATTTTTAAACATTGCAAAATTTACAATAAAAAAAAAACATTCACATCAAGTCAGTTGAATTGTACTTGCTGGAAAAGAGAGAAAACATTTATGGAATTTAGACATGTTAGTGGTGGATTGTCATAGTGAATGTTGCAACCAAATGCTGGAAATATAATTTGCTTGATTGAGAAACACGAGGACAATGAGGACCACCATATAGTGAAACCCATGTTTATATTTCACACAAACGTATATGTGCTAACAAAGTTACCCCAAAAACAACAACATATAATTAATATTATTATGTTTTGTATATTAAAAATTCTGTAGGTGAATGCTGTTGTGTTTAATTTTAATATTAATTCACAATCAGTTTTACTTTCAGTTTTTTCTTCTTGAGCGGGAAGCTGGAGTTTTTGAATATTGCATAAAAGCACTTAATCTTCCAAAATGTGGTATTGTTCCTTTCCCAAACTTTTCTTGGTTGGTTGCCTGTGGTTACAGTGAAACTTAGCTAACTGGATTCTCATGCTCATTCCAGTGGGAAATGAAGTTGGCGTTTCTTTTGAATGCCGTGAGTCCAATTTTCCATTCACAAGTTTACTGAAGGAGAGGCTCATGACAACATGACATAATTAATTAGCAAAATGTTACTGTACCTCATCAGTATTCTGCCACTGTTAGGGTAGGCTACTAATAAAATAATCCATGATATAGCAGAATTTTTATATAGACCATTATATCAGAGGGGATGAAGCTTAAATTCATAAGACACCTACGTGTAAGTGTGTAAATGACAGAAATCCAGAGAGAGGAGATATTACAGTACATTTAACAATGCGTTTAACGGTTTAGAACTTGCACGCAAGACTTGAAATCAAAGACATGTAAACACATCTGTGAACTTAATTAAAGCATGACATAATGTTTGTGTTCAGAGTATACAAACTTTATGACTTGCGAATTTTCATTTTGACACTTCATTGTCTGGTCTTTTAAAGCTCTCGCAGTTAAAGCCCCTACAGTTAGTTGCTAAGAAGACAGATGTTGTATTTCAGTAAAACAGTTGTTAAGTACTTTAACATTCCTTACAAGAGGTACCTGGCTTGTGTACCTGGCTCCTCTGCAGACTTTCTTTACACATTCAGTCTGTGTCATATTCCCTGAAGACGTTGGCCTTGATGATAAAGCTCATACCAGGGATCATTAGACATGACTTGAAAGAGTTTAAAGTTATTTCATCAGTAGTTTTTACATTTTCCTGTCCTTTTGTCTCTAGACACCTAACTATTCCTTATACTCAGAAAATGTGGCCTTCCTCATGAGCATGTGTGAAGGAATGCGTTTTTGGTAGAACCAAATATGGGCATGTGATGTGTCATTTTTCCCAAACGTGAGTCAATGCTTCAGCCTAATGTTCTTAATTACTCCAGATGATGAACCTATTTTTACTGTCATTGTGGTTGCTGAACAGAGTGATAAGGGAATGGATTATGTCAACTTTTATTTTTGGCACATGCATAGATATTAAAACATCCAGTCCTGTCAGTGGCCTTATTGAAATTAATTAAGTGCGTGTTTGCTCAAACACGTTTTGTTCTTGAGTAATTGTTTGTAATTAATTGCTGTTTCAGTATTACAACGTGAATTACTTAGTGTGTGTATGTGTATGGTGTGTGTGTGTGTGTGTGTGTGTGTGTATATATATATATATACAGTGGTGTGAAAAAGTGTTGGCCCCCTTGTTGGTCCTGATCTGAATCCTATTGAGATGCAGTGGCTAAGGGTGGCCCAACCAGTTATTAGGTTTAGGGGGCAAACACTTTTTCACACAGGGCCATGTAGTTTTGGATTTTGTTTTCCCTTAATAATAAAAACCTTCATTTAAAAACTGCATGTTGTGTTTACTTGTGTTATCTTTGACTAATATTTAAATTTGTTTGATGATCTGAAACATTAAAGTGTGACAAACATGCAAAAAAATAAGAAATCAGGAAGGGGGCCAACACTTTTTCACACCACTGTATATATATATATAGTATACTGATGTTGAAGTAAACAACTGATAATTAAATACAGATATGTATTAATATACTGATATAAAAGATGTGAGAGTTCACTGAAACAAAGAAACACATTCAAAGCTTTAAAGACTGATATGCCGCCAAAATTGGCAATGACTTCTGCCTTAGACTAAACGTAGCCATGGCTTGGCTGTTTAATGGTCCTGTAAAAAAGGAGAGCGAGACAAAGAAAGTGACGGTGAAAAAAAGTGTTTATGATTGTCTGTGTGAAAAAGGGGAGAGAGGGACTGGAAAGGCAGACAAGGATGACTTCATAACTTCCGCTAGTGTGTGCGTGTCTGAAGGGGAGGTCTCAAGTCCTTTAAATAGCGACAGAGCTACTCACAGACACATTAAGAGCAGCTCTAGGCTTGCACTGCATCGAAGATCACAGTAACAAACTAAATCTACAAAGAAACTCTTCAAAATCAAAGCATCTTTCAGGTAATTTTATGTTCTTGTTTTGCTTCATACCGAAAATAGACTCCAACTTAATGATTAAAACTTTTAGAAGTTGTAAAGTTTTGGTAGCATTTAGCTCAAGTAGTTGATTGCTTGATCTAATAGATTTTGCCCGTATGTTTTGGACTAACCAGCATGGGCAGAACTGAATTAGGTGTGAAATTTGAAAATGTAATTGTTGATATAAATTACTAGTTGTTTACCCAGACATCAGTATACATTGAATAAAGTTATAAACTTTAAACTTGGAATAAGTCTTTATAGACAAAGCTTCGTATGTGCCATAGTATTCTGTAGGTAAACACGTGAGGCAGGAGTCAAGATAGACAAACAGAGATGGCATCTTAGCGTCTGAATGGTGGGTGTTGTGTCTTGCACATTAGGGAGAATTTTCACAAGGGAAAGTAAAGAAGCAGCTTGTTCTCTTTTTGGAGGAGGCTGAAACATTTATTTGTCTCCATGGTTTTGCCAAGTGAACACACCCATATTGTGACCACAATCATACTTCAGCAGAAATTCAAAAAACAACTTTCATAAAATCTGTACTTACCATTTACAGTTTTGAATTAGCACAGCTGACCTCTCTCTTATCTTCCTCGGTTATTCAGAATGCAGAGCCTGAATGTGCTGCTGATCTTTACCCTTTGCGGGTCAAGCTTGTGCAACATTATGCAGGAGAAACAGACAGATTTTGGACTGCAGGTGTTCTCTGAAGTAGTCCAATCTTCTCCGGACAGAAATCTGGTTCTTTCTCCCTATGGCATCTCTTCAGTGCTGGGCATGGTTCAACTGGGTGCCTATGGCAGCACTCTTCAAATACTTACCTCCAAGATGGGCTACTCACTGCAAGGTAGATGAATGAGAGCAGTAGATGTAATTCTATTATGTTCTGGAACAGCTTAGAAAAACTTATCATTCAGAATGTATCATTTTAATAAAGAAAATATTTGTAGAGAATAGGCCTATATGTATCACTTATATCTTGCATTTTTATATTTAAATCATAATATTTTACATTCCTAATTTAATGTGTAAAGTTTTTCTAACTCTCTCTTTCCTTCTGATAGCACGAGGAATGCCAAAGCTACAGAGGCTTCTTCAGAGAGATCTGGCCAGTGAAGACGGGGTAGAAGTGGCCAGCGGTGTCATGGTTGACCGGAAGATAATCCTGGAAAAGGTATTTAGGCGCAGCCTGTCCAAAGCCTTCCAGAGCATCCCACACCAAATAGACTTCAGCCAACCAGAGATGGCCCGGCAGGTGATCAACTCCTGGGCATCTGACCACACTGGTGGTAAGTCACTGCTATTTTGAATACATTGCCTGTGATGTTCCACATCAATTTGGATAAAAATGTCTGCTAAATGATTAAATGTAAGCTCGCTCACCATACACATTTTCAAGACACTTAAACGATTTATTGGCTTCATTTCTTAGGAATGATTTCTGACTTCCTCCCATCTGGGGTGTTGAGTGAACTGACACGCTTGGTCCTGTTGAATGCTCTTCATTTCCATGGGGTCTGGAAGACACCCTTTGACCCTAAACTTACTAGGGAACAGCTATTTCACAGAGTCAACGGCAGTGCTATATCTGTTCCTATGATGACTATGACTTCAAAATTCAACTGTGGTGAGTGTCGATGATTTGGTTTAAATGAACTGATAAGAAAATAAAGAATTTTGAAAAGTTTATTTACAACATTTTTCTCCATCTAGGTGAGTTTGTGACTGAAGACTGAAGACTGTTTATTGAAATGGTTTCCTTTTATAATAAAAGCGACTATGTGAACATGAATTAGTTTTGCGTTGTTTATTAAATTACTTGGGTGCTGGCGACATCTTGTGTTCAAAGTGTGGCAACAACAAAAAGTCAAATATATTACAGCATTTTTCATATAAATGGCTTGGGATGTCTAGAGACACGCTATATATTGTAATAATCCAGTTACAGATAAATGTATGCTTAACACGAGCTGGCAGTACAAATGGCATTGTGATATGAGCTGCCATGATGATTGTCGCAATGAATGACCAAAACTGAGCAGCATGAATCTGGATTTTCCTATATCATGAACAGATTAAAGTTCTTTACCCTCACCCTCCTATCTCTGTTACCATGGCAACCTGAATCAGACCCCTTTTTGTCATGGCAACAGCATCGGAACATCTTGCCCTGATGGCAGAGGCAAACCTGTTAAGTTTTTACAAATAGACAAGAAAACCCACTTTATTACTTTCGAAAACGTAAACACATAAATCATTCGCTGTCTTTTGTTAGTAGCGGGAAGTCGCTTCTTGTGAAGGCAGCAAGCGGACTTTCTGCAGGAGATCTTGTGGAGACAGGAATGCGTAGAGCGCATGCGCGCTGGCGGTGATGACGCTACCTGACTCCTCTCTAGTGACGAGAAGTCCGGCTCAATTCCGCGAATCGGTTCCTTCAAACAGTTCGTTCAAATGAACCGACTCAGCCGTTCTTATACACCATGCCGTTGTAACACCGAATTCTGTGACCCTAGGCGCGATAGTGAGGGTAGGATTAGGATTAGGTTTAGGGGGTAGGTCGGATTAGTATAATAAATATTGCTGTCTATTACGAGTTTTCGAGTATCACAGTCTTTAATACGGATGTTTACTGTAAGTGTTCTAATCAATCGGGAATGAATTAGATTAACCGTTGCACTGAAAAGATCCGACTCGAAAAAACAATTCGTTCACAAAGCTACTCCAGGCTGCTTCAATGGGGCTCTGAAACAACGAGCAGTCAGATAGACATGTAATGATAATATCTTGCGGTATTTACCAAAAAGCGGCTTGCTGTTCACTGAAAACACCTGACTGCTCTCAATAAGCCGTCGCAATGGTAAGTTCTAACTTAACGTTACTCTTATAGCGATAATATTCTGCACTTTCCCTGGCAGAGCTAGCTAGCCAAGTCTAAGTTAGTAACTTACAGTCAGCTACCTTGACACCTCAAACCCTGTTTAAAAATGTACATCTCACCTAGCTGTCGGGCCCTAGGTGGTCTGTCCAGTTTGGACGCTTTGTGGTTTACATCTCTCAAATACACTGCCAAATTGTCACGTTGTTACGGATTGAAAAGCGTTTGTTCACTAGCCGGGTCAGTTTGACAGCTGGATTTGATATGTTAAATTTACTGTTAATTAATCACCAAGACGCTGTTCATACGAAGCGTTTTCTGAATACTTGAGATATCGTTTCATCAAGTTTCATTAGAGATCCTATTTTTAAAGTTGTCTTCTGACTCTTGATTCGACCCGGAAACGGTTGTCTCGTTGCTGCTTTGTATTTGAGGTTCAGATGAACTGTGTGTGAGTCAGAAGACCTTTAATCCCACACAGTACATTTCACTGCGGTTTTTAGAGTCACAACAGTGTGTTCTCTCACAAATATTCCGTTATAGAAGTATTTCACAACATATTTCCTTTGTTTAATCAGTTAAGCATGAAAGGAAGTGCTGCTCTGAGAGATAATATCCAACACATCATACAACAGTGTTTACTAACTGAAGAAAGCACTAAAGATCATAGCAGACGGAAGCAAAATATAATGTCTTTGTACGCTGTCCAAATTGTTCATAATTTTCCTGTTTGCCATGTTCAATAAACAGGCTGACCTGGACTTGCTTTTTCTTTGATGAGATAGACACGTTACTACAGTATCAATCAAAAGAGCATTTATTTCTCCATATAAGACCTTTTGTTTTCCCCTCTTTCTCTGGCACTAGAAAAACAGCAGAAAGCATTCATCGCTGTAAGTAAAGATGTGTAGTTGAGCAGTAGATGGTGGTCTCATTGTCTGTTTTGTAGATTTTTATGCTCTTTATTAACAGTAGAATTTCATGAATGTGTGAATTTAGTGTCCAATATTTGTGTTTAAACTACTAACAAGTGTGATAAGACACGGCATTGATCAAGTAAAAACAGTGCACGTTTTTAACTAACTTGTCTGTATGTGTGGATGCTAAATTGTCACTTGATTTGGTTGCTAAATATGGACTTGAAACATTTTTTTTATAGCATTGAAGAAGATAGTCTCTCCTTCCCAGGAGGTTACTATTCTCGTCTTTGGCCCCTATTAATTTTTTTTTCCACATCTCATCTTTTTTTTTTTACGTCTTTCTATTTTTGGATATGAAACATCTCTTGTACAACAGAGCCTTTCATTGCCAAGTGCAATGCATAATTTTTAGTCTATTTCAAGAGCTGATGTAGGCTGACAAATTATGGCACAAAGTCCTCAATTTAGCAAGCTTGTAAAAATGCTTCACAATTAAACTAACTTGTGCTTAAGGTTAGTGTTCCATTTGATAGTCTTGTGGTTTTAATCATAGTGTGTCAGACTAGTTCTTTGATCAGGAAATGTGATAGTCGGATAGTCTTTCGAGTGGATTGAGCTGAATGCAGCATGTTGGATATGTGGGCCATGTCTGATGGGAGCAGATGCAGTGCTCTTCAGCTCGCCTCTTAAATATTTAACACGTCTGAAATGCATAGGCCAGCTCACTTTCTAATTTTATAATGATGGATGACGTCTTTTAGGAAAAAAATAGGTACATTTTTTTACACAATTTTTCCATTACGCCTTCATCCTTTCTGATAAGTCAGATGCTGGTTACAAGCACAGTTCACAACATTTGAATCATCAATTGAAGAGTTCAGAAGCAAAACCCTCTAAAAGTCATCTGAAAATTTCCTTTAAAATTAGCATTTTTAATTGGCTGCTGTGTTTATGTTCAGTTAATTCACTTTAATGTCATTGAATAGTTTATTCTCATTGCCATTAAAGTGAAATAACTTAACATAAACGTAGGAGCTTGATAAAAATGCTAATTTTGGAAGAAAATTTCAGATGGCTTTTAGAGGGTTTTGCATCTGAACTCTTCAATTGTACATAACATGGACATGAACCTTTTTTCTTTTCTTTTTTTACCAGCAACAAGATTTTAGGTTTTAATTTAATTTAATGTGTAAGGTAAATAGTAAATTTTAGTTCACAGTTTTTAAATGTTTTTCACTAGTTTTAATATCCTTTGGCCTTTTTTGTCCTAGTATTGTGGTGATGTATGATAGTTTTTAAACTAGTATGTTCTAAATTAATATGAGGTCATAAAAACGGCATGTATAATAATTATCATATAACAGGTTTTTAGTGAAGTATTGCATGGGACACACGTTTTTAGTGAAAAATTGTTAGTATATATTTTTAGTCTGGTGTTTTTAAAAAAAAAATTCGTATTCAGTTCAATGGTATTATTGTTATCTAACTAAAACTATTTACCAGTAAAAAATAATTTGTATTAATTTAAAAAGAAAATATAAATATTAAATGTAAATCAGACAAAAAAAAAACTATGAAATTATAAATGTCTTGACAACTATCTAAAATTAAATTTGTTTAGGTTGAAATACTAAAATTACTAAAACTGATATAAAAAATCAAGCCAATAAGAAATATAAAAAATTTAAAAGTACTAGAAGTTAAACTAAAATGAAAATATAAAAACTACACAAACATATAAAAAAGCTAATAAATATTAATCAGTACTATATTAATGCATAAATAATAATAACACTTCTCTAATTATTTATTACCAGAGACTGGTTTATTTATTAATTTATTTATTTAGCTTCTCTGCCATATTGAGTATTGTCTGGGATTTATGAAATAACAATTTTTTCTTTATGCGATCCTCTCCTGTCTCTCTCTATCTCTGTTTCTCTCTAGATGCGCTTTATGCTTCTGTTCAGCCGGCAGGGGAAGCTGCGACTCCAGAAATGGTACACAGCTACGGCTGAGCGTGACAAGAAAAAGATGGTCAGAGAGCTCATGCAGGTGGTGCTGGCCAGAAAACCCAAAATGTGCAGCTTCCTGGAATGGAGAGATCTAAAGATAGTCTACAAGAGGTACAAAACCACGCTTGCATTTGATGCCTTTGTGAGACAGAAATGTAGGCTGCAAATGTGTCTCTTGTTCTCGGTTTCTCACATACACATAAAAGGTTGTACTAAATAAAACAGTACACAGACTATACACCTATTTCTTGCTGAAATAACTGCCTAGTGAAGCGTACATCAAATTTTTGTGAACGATGACTCATTTAATGCGTCATTATTGAAGAGTGGAATTGCTTGAAACATCAAAATACATTTCATATCTAGTCACCTACGCACATACACGCCTGCTTTAACTTAATTTATTAGTAACCTCTTGTGAACTCTCACAGTGCTCTTTTGCATTGCGTAACAATGTGACCTTTTTGTAAGCATCTAATACTGTCACTGCACTCAGGATAGACAATAAAAAGAGGTGGTCATTATGTTTGGCCATAAGGGGGCAGTGAAAGTAAAGCTGCCCTGTTCTTCATTGCGTGTAATTTTTTTTTTTTTTTTTTTACCTCTGCACTCCATCTGATATGTACTTGATTTGGCAGCTACTTAATGTCATTGCTTGATTTAGAGTTCAAAACACTGTCGCTATAACATTTCTGCAGTCATGCATCCATGTTGGCTTAATCCTTATTACGTTTTGGTTGTCACTTCCACACTCACTAACATACCTGCAAATTGTTCACTTTTCAGTGAAATTAGCCGTTTTGAATAAAAATGTGTCATTTATGTGAATAGTCTAGATCCGAAGAGTTTATTTGGGGGGGGGGGGATAGAGAGTGAGAGATTGCAAGCTCATAGACAGGAGTGTGTTCGACCAAAGTCCCTTTCTC